GGAGGGCAGGATTTCACTTAGCTGGGACTTATTTTTGGGATAGGGCTTATATTACAAGCATCCTGAAAAATCATACTAGGGCTTATTTTTCAGGTTAGGTCTTATTTTCAGGGAAACAGGGTACTCCATGTGGTACCCTACTGACTAGACGGTGGAATGCCTCTGGTGATTCCTACCAAGGCACTCTGTCAGTTCTCTCCACCCTCACAGACATGATTGGTGATGACATAAGAGAGGATCTTTTCAGTGGCTGCTCCCAGGCTGTGGAACTCCCACAGGGGGTGAGCTGGCCCCCTCCTTGCTATCATTCCACCAGCAGGCGAAAGCCTTCCTTTTCAGGCAGACTGAGAAAGGAGTTGTCACAAGAGATGCTACACATCTTCCCATTCCCTGTTTTAAATTAGCAGTCTTTTCACATTATTAATATGTTTTGTTGTGTTTTTTTTAATACAGTTCCTTCTGTTGTTGCTGGTTTGTGCCTTTTATTTATTTTTAAATACGCTTTGTGTACTTGCATTGGGAGAAAGGCAGCACAGAAATGAAATGAAATACATTATAATGTTTTTAATGACCTGGGTCTTGAAATGCCATAGATATAACCCCAGGCTGTCGACTGAAGTTTATCCTAGGAATGACATAATGGCTGCCAGCGTGAACAGCGGACTAGAGAAATTTAAATTTAGAGGAGGACTAGAAACATTAATACAGGAGGAGATTATTAGTAGATATTATTCCCTCTGGTGCTGTTGGCTTCTTTTCTTTTGTGTGTGTCTGATACATGAATTAATTTTTGTCTAATAACAGGCAACATCAAGATCATTTTGGGGACCTAGCATCATATCTTACACAGTGCATGTTGAGGGACGATTAACATGGAACAAACACTGGTGGCAGTAAGCCTCTTTATATCAGTTACTGGGAAATAGGTGTTTATGTGCCCCCATGTGTACATGTGTCTTGGTGCACTCACATCCTCTTTGAGGGCCTCCCCTGGGATGGCCACACATGTGATCTTTCCCCTTGCTCTGCCTCCTTCCTGAAGGTTATACTTTCACAAAGTCTTACTGTACAGGAACTTGGTGTGTAGACGGAAGAGCAGTTCCTCACCTCACCTTAATTTTGCAGGCACAACTACCCTTCCTTATTTATAAAATACAGAATCCCAGAGATTATGTAAGATGTTTATGGAACCTGTGGTTGGCCAGGTGTTTACCATGAGGACCACAGCAGTGTAAAGAGTGTGCTTTGATTGCTGAGGAGAGTGAATGAATCAAAGTTTAAAAGTTAAAGCAAATTCACATAATGTCTGTATTAATCACTGAAAACACATAAACCGAAAGCTTCTGCTGGAGGTGAGTGGGAGTAGTGATAGCCATCTGCCATGAGAAGTAACATTCAAGCTCGATACACACTCTGTTCAGACATTTATGAACATATCAAGAGTTCCTAAAGGTAGCCTGCATACATTTGCCCTGGCTCCATTGCCACTTTCTGCTTCAGGACCTTCCAAAATATGCTGACAAGTCAGGGGAAGTTCTGAACAGGGTGGTGAAGCCCACAGAACATCTCAATTTGTTGCTGTACCCAGTGACCATGCTAATGGGGGAATTCCAAGAGTTTTAGTCTGGAACAAGTTTTGTTTCAGACTTCAGCTTGAGGAGACCCTCAAGAAGATGCCAGCATTAAGAAGGATGTTAGTGGTGATGTGAACATGTACCTCTCTGCTATCTTTATCTCCCAGAGTGATTTATACTTCAATGGAGGGAAACACTGAACATGCCTACAATAAGGCCAACAGGTATAAACAGCCATGCATCATCAAAATGCTCATGGCAGATGTGAACTGCCTCCAGTCAGCCAGGTAGGACATATGTGTGCAGTGGAAAAGAGTTTATTTTCCTCTTCCTTTTGGTCACCTACCACAAATGACTAACACAGGTGTGTGAGGGCAGAGAAGCTAGCAAATGTGCTTGACAGCAAATACCTTACGACTTAGGAATGAACAACATATTCCATGTACTTGGATAGGTTTCATGTTTTGGAAAGGCAAGCACTGTGCTTGCTTTGGAAAGCAAGGACAAACAGAGCCGATCCGTGTTGAAGTGCTGTCAGACCCCTGTCTGAAGGCGTTTTCTATTTCAAGGACTACCAGTTCATTTCCAGATAAAGACTAATCAAAAAGCTGGGTGAAGAAAAGAAAGGTTTTGAAGTTTCTCATTGTTAGTTATTATCTGGACAGTAGACAAAGCAGAACACATGTGTCACAAAATCAGGGTCTTCATCATGACAACGGCATTTCTTTTGAAATAGCAGCCACTGTTTCTCAAGTTGCATGTTTATACATGAATTCACCCGGAAATGTTATGTCAGTACAATGGAAGGTGGTAGTCCAATTTAATGTGGGTGGTAGATCTGCTCTGGATTTTAGTTTGACCTTTACAGAAACTATTCCAAAAGATAGTTTCAGCACTGTGGAGAGCTCTTTTAAAATTCTGTCTCTAGAATTTGGAGAACAGTCATGGCTCCCATGAACTTGGAATCACTGGTCTACATTGCCTCGGCATTCTCTTTTGTCTTTTTCTCAAAAAAGCAATATATAAGTGGCCACCCGAATGGGGAGGGGTCTTAACCTTTTCCCACAGGTTATTGCTTTTTTACTTTCCTAGGTATAATGACCACTACTGCCATTGGGGAAAAGTTGCTGGTATCTATATCTAGAATTTGCTAGGAATCTGTGCAGCCACAAATTTAGGGAGCGGCAACCAGAGAATCTAGGTCTACAAAGGAGTTGATCAGCACTCATATATTTGCCTTGGTAAGTGTCTGGAGTGACCCTTTGCCTGCGAGGAAGGAGGAAATGGCTGGAAGTGGCTAACTCCAGAGACAGTGCAAAGGCTCATGGGACTGATAGTCTAGGTTCTACAAAGAGTGCCCCTAAAACAACAACAACAACAACAACAACAACCCCCATGAGTCCCATACATAATAATTTTCAATAGGGAGTAGAGATATTTCTCTTGAGAAGACCTGGGTTGCACCTTTTGTGTTGCCACCTCAAATTCATCAACTCTGAACATTCTTGCATGGCTATTAATTGTGGCCAGCACAGCTAAAATGACAGGAATTACAATCAGATAGCATCTGGAGGCCACACGGCCGCATCCCTAATCAACAGCACAAACCCAGCTTTACAACTTGTGTTCATAACCACACTGGTAAGAAAGAAAGAAAAAAAGGGGGGGGGAACCAACCCTAAATTTACAAGTTTCTTTCCATGCCAAGGAGTTGCTTCTAGTCTGCACTAGCATTGTAAAATGGCCTCCATCATCTTTTTTAAAAAAATCTAATTATTTTTATTCAAATAAGATATCCAGGTAAAATAAATGTTTTTAAAGCATTTAAATATTTCTTCATCTTCTGTGTGGCTGCTGATAGTTCATGGTCCAATCAGTGGGGTGGTTTAACATTCTCTTTCTAAGTAGAATGTTCCTCTGCATCACAGCATATGTGCTATAGAGGGAAAGAACTGTAATTGTCATGGTTCCATCCTAAATAATCCTGGGATTTTTAGACTGGTGAGAAAATCCTTAGAATACCCTCCTGTAGTTTTAGAACTTTTACTAGAGTTCTCTGCTACAGAAGGTTAAGTAACTCAGCCGTAGTATGATAGATCTCAGAATTCCATAGAATGGTCGCAATGACCAGATAAGCGGGGTATAAATCAATCAATCAGTCAATCAATCAATCAATCAATCAATCAATCAATCAATCATCACACATCATCACATCCATGAAGCTGTGGCAGTTCAAGTGATATCAAATTGCTATAACTGTGTAGTACAATTACACTTGTAGCCTCTCCATTTATAACTTTCAATATGGTGATCCTGCCGTGTAAAAATGTGGGCCAAGTGGTCAAGCACTCTTATATCTGTTGTGGTTAAAAACAATAAAACATTTTCTGGCACCTTTAAAAATATGCTTTCGTAGATTATAGGTCCCTTCTCATGCATGTTGGAGTTGGAAAAAGTGTCTCATGGCAAGTAAAACCTGTTAATACACAAGGTGCTAGATGCTTTTTCCCTCCTCACCTTACTGGGTTTTAGTGGGGATGGACGCCATAGAGAAATATATTGCATGTATTCATAGATATGCGATCCACAAACAAGGCTGGGTGGCAACTTTATTAGTTTATTATAAGCTTCTGTTTGCAAGATTTTATTAGCTTCTGTTTGTGAGATTTTAGTGGTGTAATAAAGGATTGGCCCTTTTTTTCAGAGGATCACACATTCCCCCCCCCTTTTTTTCCTTAATAAAAATACAGGTAACTTTGAAAGTAAAAGAAAACAAAATAACACCCCACACACACACAAAAATAAAAACTCATGCTGTATTTAATACCTCTACATCAAGAAATCCAGTTTAATTGACATTTGTTTACATTCAAATGAAGATTCAAATTCAGATGTTTACATTCAAATGAAGATTCAAACCCAGAATTCAGATTCAAATAAAGGGAAATTCAAATATTTCACTCTTCTTTCAGACCTAGCAGAAGCATCAGAGAGGCAAACACCAAAGTCCATAGCAGCAGCCACCTTGAAGACGATTTGGTTGCCGAGCAGATATTTTTAAAGCACGGTTTCTATAACAGCCCCAGCCTGGGTTGATGTGAATAACTCACGCCTTTGTTGTGCTGCAGGCGAGTCTGTTCTCGTCTCCCCCTCTTTGCCCGGGAAAAGGGGTAGGCAGTCAGGCAGTGGCAGCAGAGGCGGTGACTGGCAGACCGTAATTAGTTAACCCATCCCTGTGCCCAGATCGTGGCTGACACACCCTCCCCACTTCCACCCTCCCCAACCTGTGGTTGTACTGCTGAAAGAAATCACATGAAATCATCGACAGGTTCCTTAGAACAAAAAAAACCCCAAAAAAACTTCAGACACCCCTCCCCCCAAAAAAAATCAGAAAGAAATTGATTGTGGGGAGGGAATGAGTACTCAGAGCTGAGCCAAAGTTTCCTGTTGCATGTGGCCATAGGATTCTATAAAAACGAGATTTTAATGTGCCGGTGGCAGTATATTTGCGAGCTGTTACGAGGCTGGAGCACTCCCTCAGCTGTCTGCTTGCCTGCCCAGATCCCTGAAGGGGTTTAAAGCAACCACAGTGAACATGTTCCTGTACTGCACGCTTGTGGTAAGTTCTTGCCTGGCGGAGACTGATGACTGCTTTTTGGAACTGACACAGTGGAAGCGTTGCTACTGATAGCAATTTTCTCCTATTTTCTTCTCTTTTTTTCCCTTCCCATCTGGGCTTTTTAGTATGCATACCAGGTTTTCTTCATAACAGGCTGCTGGAGTACAGTTTTGTTCTTTGGGAGTTTTTTTTAAGCATGAGTGAAACATAACTGGTTTCTTGGGGAGAAAAAGTGCCACTCCACATTAGCAAAAGTGCGGGTGTCGTTAAAATCTCCTCATGTTGACCTTCAGGGGATGATACGGATGACAGTAAGGAAAGTGTTGTTGTTGAATGTTAGGAAAGGAAGCATGAGAATGAACAGATGGGTGAGATAAGAGAAGGTTGTGGAGAGAGAGGCCTGTTTAATTGTATATTTCTGTGTATGTGAAGTTGCCTTGCAGAGCCTGGAAAAGGTATTTTTTTTCTAGACTACATCTCTCAGGTTTCTCTGGCTATGCTAGCTGAGGATTCCTGGGAGTTACAGTTCAGAAAAATAACTTTGAAAAATTATGTTATCTTGTATAGGGTCAGACCCATCTATCCGTTGCTGACTGCACTGGGGGATAGGGTCTCCAAGGGATGGGGTTTGTTTTTCAATATGAATTTTGAAATCTGCAGTTTTCTCCACAAATGCAACTGGAAGAACTTGCGCTTTTTTAAAAATTTCCTTCTCCTTTTTAAACAGAGAATATGGGAAACTACAGCCGGCAGATTCACCCATCCAGGCAGAAGCCTTTGGGTGCTCACAAAAAACTAATTTTGCATATTCACCCATCTTTGTGCTACTGAATTTGAGTTGCCACCTCATTTCTCCTGAGTTGTTTCCTCATTTTTTTAATGCTTGCATGGCAGGTTAGGAACAAGAACCTTGCAGAGCTGGCCTTAGCCTCCCCTTGAATTTGTCCAGAGGGTATGGCTGAAAATTCAGTCCATTTGTTTTGTTTTCATAAAAACTTCCTAAGATTTACTAGTATCTTAACTTAAAAAACAACAACACCTGAAAGCATCCAAATTCAAATGAAGGCAAAAAACCTTGATAGATGATAGATAATTTGCACAGGTGGTTGGAGGAGTCTGGGATTTTTGGTCCAGAAAATAAATATTTCCACACTCTATTCTGCAGTTGAGTTTCCCTCCCTAGCTTTGCTACCTCTGAATGATTGAATGAGAGATGCCAGGAATTTTTTTTTCTCTTTTTTTCTCTCTTTGTTATTGGCTCCTCATTTACCTGCTGTGCATGAAAGGCAGACCTTGGTGGATCTTCTCTGCTCAAGGGTAAATGTTCTACTTGTTTGTTTTTATGGTAGTTTCAATAATTATGAAGGGCATGAAGCAGGACCTACTCACATGGACTTACATGGAATATTAGCTCTCCCATGCACGCACCAGAGGCACTGGGCAGCTATATGCATGATTTGCTTTGAATGCCTGTTTCTCTCCTCCTTTCTTTGCCTTCTCTCTGACTTACTTTGGGAATCCCTTTGAGCAAATCACATCTGTGCTTGGGTGCTGGGCATAGGAACAAAACTGAAGTCAACCTTGGAAGCAATAGCAAATTTGCCTTGTGACCCACAAGGGGGGGAAAGAAAAGGTTGGTAATGAAAGAAATGTGGATTCTTTCAGCTTTGCTGCATGTCCACCCCTAGTGGATCATGTATTTGGTGAATTAATGAGAACATCCAAGTAGAAATGTCTGGGATGACATACATTTCTTTTTTTCTGTGTGGTTTTTCTTCTTAGTAGAATAGGTTATATTGTTTCTAAAATGGGAAGTTCTCCTACACAAGCCCATTTCCCAACAGGAAAAGCCATTGTCTTGGTGGATGGTTGGCTACTGAAGAAGAATAACAACCTGATATGCCCAGGGGAGGTGGGGCAGGGAATCCAGGGCACTGCCTCTCAGTGGGTGCCTGCTGGAGGAGGCAGGGCACGGAATCGCTGAACACCTGTTCATCCAAAAGACAAACTGTCATGAACTGCTGTTTCAGCAATTCATGCCCATCTTGTGAACCCTCTCTGGATGGTTAACAACGTGTCACATTAAAATAAACAATACAAAAAAATACAACAAAATCCTCCCTGTCGCTTAAAAAACCCCTGCATTGTTTAGAACTAAACAAATTTAAAACAAATGTGGGTATCTCAGGTCAGTGGTTAAAAGCACTAATAAAAGGCAGCTTTATATAATTCTGTTTGTATTAATTTCCTAAGAACTGAGAGGGACGGCACTTGACAAACCTGTGTAGGAAGTTTCTTCCAGAGGGAAAGGGCCACACCCGAAAAAGCACTGTGTCCTGGTGTTCTTTTGGACTCTTGGAATATCACCGTTTTTAACATCAAGGACTGCGAAGAATGGGTGGGACTGGTAGCTGTTTTGTGGGAGAGACTTTCTGATGAGTACCAAGGTCTTAAACCATGAAAGGATGTGGTGAAAGGCACAATTGCACAAGCTGTCACAGCCTTTATGGGCCACACACAGATCCTTTCATGTTGAAAATTTGCAACTGTTGTCATGACAGGTATCACCTAAGAACTATCCCTGGCATGTTGTTTTGTTTATTTCTATCTCTTCTTGATTTGAGAAAGAGTCATGTTTCCTGGCTAAAGCAACGGTGATAAAAATCTCTAGAAGGTGTTTTGAGCTGCCTGAATAGCTCAGTCAGTTGGGTATGTGGCTGCAGCAATTCAGAGGTCAAGGGTTCGATTCCCCGTTATGTCTCCCCATTATGCTACCTTGGGCAAACTGCATAGTTTTTGAGCATGCCCAGAAGAAGGGGATGGTAAACTTCGGAGTACTCCATACCTCAAAAATCCTGGAAAGGGTTTGGACTGCTAAGCAATGTCAGGTCAGATTAGTACTTGCTGGAAGACCAAGAAGGAATACTAGGGATTTCCAGGCAGGACAGAATAAAGGATTATCCCTGAAACCTGGAAATATGCTGCCAGTCAGATTTGACTGTGCTGGGCTAGGAGGACCAAGGGTGTGGTTGAATAAAAGGTACTGGGGAACAGGGGCTAGTAGCTGGAGCATGGCAGACAACCTTAGAAAGGGGGAAATCCCCAACTTATATCCAAATAACAGCATCTGAGACACTCTATAAATGTTTCTTTCAAAAATGATATATAATTAGAATTTTAATTTGAAATTCCCTGAGCCAGGGTGATAGCGATGGTTACAGGGCTGGAATACATTTGGGGAGAGCCTAGTTCCAATTTCGCCACAGCCATGAATTGTCCTAGATGAACTTAAGTCTGTCACCATCCTTCAGCTTTGTCTACCTAACAAGTTTGTTGTGAGGGGGGAAAATGGAGGCATGGGCCACATGTGTCATTCTCCACTCTTTGAAAGAGTGGGATTTAAATGTTGTTAATAAACAATTCCCTCCGATTTCTGATATTCAGGCTGAGAGTGCCGCTCTTTAGTTTGCCAAAAGCAGCCTAATCACTCTCCTTTGACTCCACTCCCTAAAGTTTAGGGGAATCCCAATGTTTGCAGAAATTACAAACAAATATTTAGGGCAAAGAACAGCAAAGGTGAATCCTACACCTCTGAACATTACAAGGAGGCCTGAGTGTGTGCAATGGCCATTGACTTGGGTGGGTGGGTGGGTGGGTGGACGAAGCAGCCTGGGAGAAGTGAGGAAGAGTGGAATGGAGTGGGTGGGAGGTTAGACTGATGCAAGGAAGAGTTGATGATATGCCGTCCTCTTGGCTCTCACAATCTACCTCTGTCAGGACCACCCAATGATATTGGTTGCTGCTTGGTCCAGAAGTGACCGATGAAAATCCTTTCCTTCACAGAATGCTTTATTTCTTGCTACAGTGAGGTGGTCGTAACAACTAGCTCACAGGAACTGAAAAAGAATTACATGTTTTAATGATGGGAAAGTAAATTAGTAGCGATAAGGCTAGATCACTGATCTGAACCTCCAGTGTCAGAAGCAGTATATGACTGAATATCAGAGGTTAAGGACAAGAAACTGGCCGGGGTGGTGGTGGTGGTGGCTTTGGTAGGGTCGCCACTACCAAGCCATGCTGGTGAATTCCCAGTAACTGGCTCCTCTTCAAAACAGACCGATGGCCTAAAGGAATTTTGTCCAGCAATAACAACTATAATGTTATTATGTTGACATTGAATTGAGCATTAGAATTTAGAGATTTGACTTTTGGACTTGATCCAGACCCTGGCAGTGGCATTCAAAGGGAAATTAGACTTCAGGATGTGTTTCAAATTCCAAACACAGGATGGTTTATCTGTCTCAGTAAATTCAAACATTCTTCTGTGGTCTGTGTGAAAACCCCAAAGCCAAAGCATATAATCATTTTTCTGAAGGCTGAAAAACTAGTTTCTTTACTTCCACAAGACTGTGATTGAAGGAAAAGATGCTTGAAGGAACTTGTCATCTAACTCACATTTATTTTACAGAGGGCGGGTGGCCCGGGAAGCAAATGACGTTTCACTTGGATTTAAAAATCAGTGGGAAAGGCGTTGTCCAGATTCTAAATGAAATCAGTGTAATCTCATTTCCCTTTCAAAATCCTTTTCTGAGGAAAAAATAAAAAGGAGCTTGTAAACCACTGTCCAATCCTGGCTTATTTTAAAAACAAAAGATTGCAGAGTTATTTCTGTCTCTCCATCATTACAGCACAGTGAGCTAAAGTTCCTAAGTCCATATAATAGAGTTGAAATTTAGATGAGAGGAAGTTAACATTACATAACAGCTCTCTTAGACTCATTCAACTTGATTTCTGAGAAGTAACTGTTAAGACTTGGATCTGTGGTTCCCAACCTTGTGTAACCCAGGTGTTCTTGGACTGCAACTCTCAGAAACCCCAGCCATCAGCACAGAAGGCTTTTTGGAGCTGCTGTCGAAGAACATCTGGGTTACCCAACCTTCCTTAAAAGCTGCTCTTTAGACACTTTGGACTACAACCTCCATCAGGGGACACTGGACAGTTTGGCCAGTGGTCAGGGCCCAATGGGAGTTGTCGAACAAAACCTCAAGGACATCAGCTTGGGAAAAGCTGACTTAGAAATTGATAGAGCTATGTATAGAAACTTTGGGGTTTGGAATGTAACCCAGTTTGGCCTTTGTTTTGAGCCTCAGAGCCGAATCTTTTCCTAAGGCTCCCACTGACTGTAGTGGAAAACCATAGCAGCTATAATTTTGGGGGGTTTGCACTGAAGTACAAGAAATTTTGGCATGCTCTGGTCCATGGGGTCACAAAGAGTCGGGCACGACTAAACAACAACAACATGAAATTTTGAGACATGACAAAACCCTAAAGAGGGTGGCAAGCTTGATAAATGTCAGACGGCAGCTTTCAGGAGAGAGATGGTATAGCTCAGTGAGTTGCAACACAGGTTGGGACTTCAAATCGTACCTGTGCCCCTGAGAGAGAAGACAGCTGAGATCATCTGGACTGGAATGTGGGTTGACAGGTTTACATGCTCTGCTACCTTTGAAGCCTTGCGCAAGCTTCAAGGTCTCAGAATACCACCCAAAGGAGGGACTGATAGGCGACTTCTAGAACTTGGTACCTTGAAAACCCTGGGAGGGTTACCATAATTAAGAACTGACTTGATGGTGAAAAGCTACTATAGTTATTAGCTCAGGCTGTGCTCACACCAGTGAAATGTTTCCCAGTTCTTCCTCATTGATTTTGATTTGTGTGTGTGTGTATGTGTGTGTGTAGTCAGGCAACACGCAGCCATTATTGAATCTTATGGTCTGCCTCCATGCTATCTCTGCATCAAATCCCACCTGGGAAGGTTCTACTTTTGCTGTTGCAGGATTCTTTGCACAACAATTACAGTGGTATCCTATGTGCACGTCTGTCCCGATACTTTTTCTGACAAGCCACCTTGTGTTGCTTCTGCCAGTGATGTCGTTTGCCTGTATGTCTCTTTAATTTAAAAAAAAACATTTTAGCAAGTGGATTATTGATGAGTTGGAAAACTTGTGTCATCAGCCTCTGTTCTTCACTTATTTGAGGACCCTCCCACCAGGTGGTGTTCCCTCCTCTGAGCCCTTTCATGTTTTCCTCTTGGGAACCTCAAGGTAGGGCTGCAATGAAAACAAAGCCTAACTACAAGTTTCTCTGCTGCAAAAGATACAAACACAGCAGAGAAACTCATGCCCATCAAAGAAATGTTGCCAATGAAATGTGCAGACCTAGGTATTACCAAAAGGCTTCAAGCAATTTGAAGGGAGGGCAGTAACAGATGTCCAGAGAAAGCAAAAATGGGTAGGGCTCATCCTGCTTTATACACACAGAATCTAAGCTAGCATTACAATGTTTGTAATTGGTTTAAATCTACCCTGCAGGGAGATTGCCACATGTTGCCCCAAAGAGGCAGCCTTAAAAATGGTGTTTTCTTTTTCCTTTCAGCTGTTGGACATCTCTGTGAAATGGACGGTCCAAGAGACGATTCCCCCAAAGTACTTCCATTATGACCCAACATCTTCCCGCCCACTGATGTGTGACCAGTGCCCTCCTGGCACCTACGTGAAAGAGCACTGCACAGCGTCATCGAAAACAGAGTGCGCCCCCTGCCCGGACGAGTCTTACGCAGACGACTGGAACAGTAACAACGAATGCCAATACTGCAACACAGTATGTAAGGAGCTGCAGTACGAGAAAGTGGAATGCAGCAGCAGTGAGAACCGTGTCTGTGAGTGCATTGAAGGCCGATACCTTGAACTGGAATTCTGCCTGAAGCACACGGCCTGCCCTCCTGGGTTTGGTGTCATTCAACAAGGTATGTCATACCAAAGTCTGTGCTGTCTGTTTTCAGGAAATGTTTTGATTCATTTTGGATTAAAATAGCCAGTTGCTTGATCACATACAGTGAGTAAACATCTTGTCCAGGCAAGCCATCTAGATTTTTTTTATTATTTTTTGTGGGAAAAGTGAATGCTGGTGGTATACACGAACTTTTCTCCCTGACAAGCCATGTGTCATCATGAATTATGAATGTCATATACGAAGCAGATCAGCTAGGGAGACCCAGTGTGAGTGCAATCAAGAGCAGTTCAGAGGTAGAACAGGACGTAGGGTGACTTCAAAAGAAAATAGGCAAACGAGGATGCGGCCTGGAATAAAGCTGCATGAGCTAGTAGGTACAGATACAAAATTAGAAGTGACTTTTATAACTCCAGCAAAACAACAATGCATCTCATTCCAGTGGGAAAGCCTGTGAACCTCTCGGCATGCGCACTGTGAGATGGTCGTCTCCAAGGTCCTTGATCTCACTCCTTTTCCTTGATTTTTAAATCAGGCTTGGACTGGGCAGCCCTTCAGGTAGATGGCACTTTCAAAAAGGAAGAGGGCAGCCTTTCAAGTAAAGGGCTGCCTCCCTCAAAAGAAGATGTGGCCACCCTGAGGAGGATTCAAATTATAGCTGAGACATAAAGCTCACTCGATTGGGTACTAATTCTCAGCCCAATCTAATTTATGGTGTTTCTGTGAGATGGAAAGGAGATCTACTCTGAATTTCTGTGAGTTTACAGCCAACTGCTGGATCCAAAGTGCCAGATGATGTGTAATCCAAAATGAATTGGTAGGGGGCAGTTGGGGCCTGAAGTCAGTTTGCAGAGGTGGCAAGGCTGAAGCAAAGCAGGAAGAATGGTATTACCATGGAGGCGTGTTACCAGTAGTGGCAGAGTCAAAACCTTGGGACTTTCTGAACAGCAGAGACTGTGTCCTCATTCACTCCTTCCCAGGCTTCCCTATTTCTTCCCAGTTTAACTGAAGTCCTCACAGTAGCTGGAAAAGACATGGATTTTCCTAAGAACAGTGTGTCATTGCAAACTTTCCCTATTGTAATGCAGAATATTTGTGGTAGTTTTGGTCTTCAGAACTATTGGCTTTTTTTAAAAGACCTGTTCTACATTTGTTGATCGTCACCAATCCAGCTCTCTGGAAGTTTGGACTCTCCTTATGGGGTAGAGGGTGGTTATGAGGAGAACACTTGCACTTCCAGATTTCCCACAATGCCGAGCATGTTGCTCAAACTGAGTGACCAACATCAGAAGAACGGGTGTGTCGTTCCACCCATGCCTCTGCTGGTCTTCAGGTCAAATGACCTAAATAGTTTCATGGGACAATAATGTGACCAGTACATGGGGCAATGTCCACGTTGAAGTAGCGATCAGGCCTGTCATTCTCGCTGTGGGCAGAGTCTGTGGTTTGCCACTGTGGTTTTATTACAGCTCTTTGGGGGATAATGAAAAACAAAAACCCTGGGGTTTCAGGAACGAGGCGGGTTATTACCTTGCAAGGTTGCTCACTAAAACACCTCTGCGCCACTTACGTACATCCTTTTACTCTGGTAGTCACAGGTCCTACTTTTCCAGAGGACATTCCTCTATCTGAAGGCATCCCCTATTTCAAGTTCTGTCTGGTCTGTTTCCCATTCCATCAGAAGAAAAGCACCCACAACTAATTACTTATTGTATTTGTTGCATTTATATCCTGGTTTTCAATCAGTTAGCTCAAGGCAGTGTCCATGGCTCTCCTCAACCCCACTATTTTCACACCAATCCTAGGAGGTGGTTCAAGCTTGAGCAAGTATCAGATGTCTACCACCATGTCATGAATTTCATGGACAAGTAGGGATTTGAAACCCAGCTCTCTTAAGCCCTAGCTCAAGACTCCAACCACTACATGCATGTCACCTGGCCAGTCTTTATGACTCTAATGAGATACGTAGTGTTTTGCTGAAATCAACAGTAGCTAGTTAGTACCTGGGGAGCAGAGAAAGCAGGCATGTCACCTGGCCAGTCTTTCTGACTCTAATGAGACATGTAGTGTTTTGCTGAAATCAACAGTAGCTATTTCTAAACTGGCAGCTGTACGTACAAATTAGCATATGCAGTATTATGCAGATCCGTCCTCTCTTTTACCGTCTTTCTGAGTGTTCATTTCCTCATTTCGAGCAATGTATTAGTAACAGTCCTACCCCCCCACATCCTAAGTCTGGTTTTGGCTTCGTAAACTTCCTCTTTTGGCCCCCAAGTGGAAATACCAGCCAATGAGCTTTAAGAGTTTCCGAAACAAACATGCCCGGCTGAAACGGATGGAAAGCAAATTTATCGGCCACACTTGTGAGAAACAGCTGCAGGCCTCCTCCACAACATCTCCTTGGACTGGCGCCAAGAGCAATGTCACTTGCCGTGGCAAAATGTTCTGCTCTTACTGTAATGAGTAATCCAATGCCAGCTGCAAATTGCATTCTAATGAGAAACATGATGGATCGACTTCTTTCCCAGGGACATTATCTGGGATACAGTATTTATAGGTTGTAACTAATAACATTTTTCATTGGGAAGAATGTGGTTTCAAGCCTTCGTGCCTCTTGACAAACAGCAGAAGTATTAACTGTGATACAGCACCCAGACAGTAATTATAACAATATTAGTGTAATAGCAAAAGGCACTGCAAATGTCTGACAGCAATTAATTACTATTGTCATAAATGGATAGTCATAGAAAAGCCATTATTTATATCTATATTTAAGCAGCCCATGCTTTCTTTGACAGACAAGCTGGTGATATCTTGTTTTTCTGGCAGGGATAAAGAGAATGTAGCAATGTATTTTGTTGTTTTCTTTTTCTTTTTTTCTTTTTGGAGGGTACGGGGAGAAGAGAGCGAGAGAGCGAGAGGAAGAAAATGAAACTCTTGTGTTCTTCGGTTAAAAAGAGGAAAAGTTGTCATTGAAGAGCACAGTTTTAAAAACCCTTCTCCAGAAATAATAAAATAAAAGCAACATATCACCTCACCTCATATCCTGGGTCTGAGGATATGTTCCTAGCTAAGCCACAGTCGATGAAAAACCTCTGTCTCCCCTGGGCCCTGTCAAATAGGGGACAGAAAAATGCATAAACTCTTTTCCACATCCAGGGCAGTAAAAGCAAAGCTTAACTGTTTTCTGGCCTTCCAAGACTCCAGGTGCTAAGTGCTGGCGATCAACTTCGAGGCCCCTTTCTCTGGCTCTGTTGGACTCAGTTTAGATAGTTCTTCTGTCAAGATTATAAATTTTATGGAGAATAAATACTGAAATGTTTAACAATGCTGAAATGCTTAAAGGGGATATAATTCTTACATTTCCCTTCATGTTATAATCCGTCATGCATTTCCAAGGTGACATTTCCTATATTCTTACACATTTAACACTTTATTTATACAAAATATCGAACTTTAACCATCCCCCAACCACCACTCCCATCAGGTGGGCGAGGGAAAGTCTTGTTTTTAGGTGTTCTCCGTTGCTCAGTAGTCCAGTCTTGACACTTCAATAGACAGTGTCTTCAAATAGCCTACTATGAAACAGGAACACATGGCCAGAAAGACTTAAAGTGCTTTCTACTGCTAAAAAGCAGGTGGTGGAGATACCATATTTGACTGGAGAAAGGCAGGGCATTTAACTTTAACCTCTCTGAGGTCCAGTCCAAATCCCTCCTCTTTCTTCTGGAAGAACAGAAGAGAGGAAACTCTTGTCTACCAGATGTTGTGGAGCACAACTCGCACCATCCTGTACCATTGGCCAAAATGACTAGGGCTATGGCAAGTCAAAAATAAAAATATCTGGAGGATCAAAACATCTGGGGGACCATCCAAATGTTAGAGGAAATATATGCTGGTGGTATCTCCTCTTAGCACTGCTTTTTCCCAATCCCTTCTCTTGAGAACTTCCATTTCGTGTGCTATTTCACTTCCAGTTTAGGTAAATGGAAGATTACTGTAGCAAATGACAAAAGGAAGAGGATTTTAAGTGGAAGAAGGTTGAAAGAGACCAGCAAAAAGAGTAATTTACATCATATATCCTTGCTCAAGTGTGAGGGGAAATGCCAAACATTTCCCTACAAAAATGGTTTCACCTGCTTCCTCATGGTCTCTAATAAGGACATAGTCAAGTGTCTTTGGAATAGACATTGCACGTACAATTAGGGCCAACTCAGAAAAGGCCCTGCTCTTACATCCTGCAGGTAACCTATCTTGGTTAGGGAATATGGAGGAGGGCCTGGCTCTCATATTTCACCGGGAGGAAAGTAAACATAATAGGAGAGCTTGGTGTCAATGGAACTAGAGCTCGGAAAAGTTACTTTTGTGCTAGAATTTGGAGAATCCTGGCTGAAGGATTCTGGGAATGGTGATCTAGAGAAGTAATTTTTCAAACCTCTGAGCAGCACACATACTCTATATGATAACAGACGTTATCCTCTCTGTGTATGAATTATATCAAAGATATGTATTGGTGACCAAATCAGTCCACTCCTAAAGTTTCTATTTCCCAGCATATGCACTAGTGACGATTCTTATTTGTGCTGCTGTATCTATATATGAAGAGGCATGTAGATTAATTACTGTGACAGCATCTTGGTTCTGAGTGTAGTTCAAATTTAATTCACTATGGTAGATATTTTATTATAAAAAGAAGGAAAGAAAATAACTGTCATCCTGTCACTGTTCCTTAAAACCCATTATGTAAACACAGCATCCACAACATCACTTGATTTACAATACCACTTTAATCAAATATGTGTTCTGCAGAGTTTGTTTTTATTTTATTAAACATTAGCACTGTATCTTGGGGAATTATGCAGCAATCTAACCCAGAAAAATAAAAATAAAAGAATCAATACATAATGTTCATTGTTTCACATTACTGAGATATTCCTTGCCTTTTGAATCTTCGAAAACTCGCTTAGTGCATTGGCAGAATAACTTCCCTGCCGAACTTTGATTTCACATGCTGGTCAAATCCATGTTACATAAATGAGAGATATTTGTATCTATTTATTTTAAATACTTTTATCCAACCTTTCTTCTAATGAAGGACCTAAGGTGGCTTAAACCATTAAAATCTAATGAAGGACCCAAGGTGGCTTAAACCATTAAAAACACAATAATAAAAGCTAAAAAAAGGAGAGACAGTTACATAGAGGAGGCAGAAATATACCAAATGCCAACAGGATTGGAGAGGAGGGATGTTAATCCCTATTTGGATTCTGTTCCTGATTATGCAGAAAATGGGAAGCCATCTGTGGAATGGGAGCCATGAATTACAGACCACCAGGTGCTTGGTAAATACCTCTTGCAGTCTTTTGAGATTCCAGCTTGGCTTCAGAGCCTGCGTTTACTGAGCACCAGCAGGCTGTAACACATGGCTGGTTCATTTTGCAGAATGTGAGTGCATAGAGGCAGACTTAAGGCTGAGGAAGAATTTAACTAAGCTATCTAGATCAGCCATTCTCAGCATTTTATGGCCATTGCCATAAACATGAAATACAAGCTGTATCAGGATTATATAAGTCGCATAAAAAGGTAAAGGTTCCCCTTGACAATTTTTGTCCAGTCGTGTTCGACTCTAGGGGGCGGTGCTCATCCCCGTTTCCAAGCCATAGAGCCAGCGTTTGTCCGAAGACAATCTTCCGTGGTCACATGGCCAGTGCGACTTAGACACGGAATGCTGTTACCTTCCCACCGAAGTGGTCCCTATTTATCTACTTGCATTTGCATGCTTTCGAACCGCTAGGTTGGCGGGAGCTGGGATAAGCGACGGGCGCTCACTCCGTCGCGTGGATTCGATCTTACGACCGCTTGGTCTTCTGACCCTGCAGCACAGGCTTCTGCGGTTTAGCCCGCAGTGCCACCACGTCCCTTATAGGTCGCATACCATTCCTTATATAAGTCGCATACCATTCCTTATAAGCATGTGTGTGAAGAATTGTTTCCAATCTGTGGCCGCCATCAAGTGTGCCATTAAGAATGGCTGAACTAGATAATGAATCTCAGTGACCTGACTGGTCAAGAGAGAATTTCTTAAAAGAGGGGAAGGGATACTTTGGGCCTCTGGAACTTTTGTCTGGAACCCTCAATGGCCATACCTAGAATAGCTAACATGTGGGAGTTGTAGACTGAAACATAAGTGGTTTCCAATCTGTGGTCGCCATAAAGTGTGCCATTAAGAATGGCTGAACAAGATAATGAATCTCAGTGACCTGACTGGTCAAGAGAGAATTTCTTAAAAGAGGGGAAGGGATACTTTGGGCCTCTGGAACTTTTGTCTGGAATCCTCAACAGCCATACCTAGAATAGCTAACATGTGGGAGTTGTAGCCTGAAACATAAGTGAACTGACCCCTGATTTAACAAGTTGGATTGTGTTGGACGTTTGTTGCACAAAATACTTGTGTGCTACTTCATGTTACCAGGTTAGTGGGAGCCAGGAGCATAGGAAGAAGCTGCACATCACACTCTGCATTGTTGTTTTATGAATAGCTCATAGTTTCAAGGTGATAACGTGAAGTCCTGCTCAGAGAAGAGGTTGTGCCACTGACTGCATAAGAATTTTTCTTCCGGGGGAAACTATTGTTTCCCATTCTTTCCTGTGAATTCCAACATAGAGCGGATAGAGTATGAAAACACTTTACTTGGGTCATGGCAGCCCCTCTGTTTTAGGAGAAAGGGACAGCTATATATACAGCATCAGACCTCAGTAAGACCAAGACCAACTGAATTCAGTAGGGCTTCCCAGCATATATGGGCATTTGCATGTTTCCTTCTGCTGCATTGTATCTTGGGTCAACTCTCAGTAGACTAGCTAAAGCACCAATGACTTTCGGTCCTCATCAATGTGTAACATGAGCTCTTTGGGCTTCTGGCTTGTGCAAAGCTACCAATTAGCAAAAAGTGTTGAAAATGTATCAGCTCAGAGATAGTTTTTCAATAACATGTCAAATGTGGATGCTTTGTCCATTTCTGACAATATACAGGAAAACCCTGACATACTAGATACAGTGTAATTGCCAAATGTGCTTAAGCCTCTCTTTTCCCCCCAGGTACCCCAGAAAGTGACACTGTTTGTGAAAGATGCCCAGAAGGCTATTTCTCAAATGAAACATCACCCAAGGCAGCCTGTCGGAAGCACACCAACTGCAGCGCACTAGACCTCAAAATGGTACGGAAAGGAGATGCGACACGCGATAATGTGTGCCAGGGAGAAAGGAGTGGCAAACTGGATCAGCAATGCGAAATTGGTATGTACCAAGTTAAAAGCAGAAAAGAATAAATTTTGCAGTTACTCCAAAGTGGCAAAAGGTAGTTAACACTTGTGCTCCAGACAAACCAAGCTTGGGAACAACAGCCTCCAAATGACATTTGGTCAAGTAATGCCAAATCATGGTTGTGTGAATGAACTAATTATGTAGACTACATCAATGATGCACTTAGGTTTCTGTTCAGTACAGCTCACTCTCTAATTGTACATAATTTGTCTCCCTTGGGAGAATAACAACCAGAATCTAAGTCAAATCGTTCATGATTGACTCAAAGATAAATCTCCTCCACCCCTTCATTGTATGAATATTTGCATTTGCCTTTTATTACTTTTTCAGATGTAACCTTATGCGAGGAAGCGTTCTTCAGATTTGCTGTTCCTACCAAACTCAAATCCAACCAGTTGGACATGCTCAGGAATAGTCTGCCTGGTGTGAAGGTCAACGAAGACGCCATTGAGAAGATTAAAGAGAAGCACAGTCCTCAAGAGCAGACCTTCCAGTTACTAAAACTGTGGAAGCAGCAGAACAAAGACAGCAAGAACATCATTCGGGGTATGCAATGCATTAGAAAAAAAGCTAGGTCCAAAATATTATATAGAATGTTATATAGAACAGCAAAGCAAGGCAGTAGAGATATACTTTGAACTAGTTTGTAGATTATACGTATGGTTATTATATGATGGCCAGATGGCTACCATAATGGTAAAAGTAGGCTAAAACAGGACATTGTGGTTAATATCATGTTGCTTAAATGTGGAGAGGAAATGTATTGGATAGACTCCCTATTACATGTCTGTTCATGTGCTGGTTGCAAAAGCAGTCATGCGCCTGTTCACACAAGAAACCTGTCCCATTGGAGGAGATACTTATATACCGTATTTTTCGCTCCATAAGAGCTACCATAATGGAAAAAGTAGGCTAAAACGGGACATTGTGGTTAATATCCTGTTGCTTAAATGTGGAGAGGAAATCTATTGGATAGACTCCCTATTACGTGTCTGTTCATGTGCTGGTTCCTTCCTTTCTGAAGGAAGCATGGACCATGTTGTGCACCATTGGAGGAGATACTTATATACCGTATTTTTCGCTCCATAAGACGCACCTTTCCATAAGACGCACCAATTTTTTAGGAGAAGAAAACAGGAAAATATAATCTGTTTTCTTCGCTCCATAAGACGCACAGACTTTCCACCCCCCTGTTTTGTGAGAAAAAAAGTGTGTCTTATGGTGCGAAAAATACGGTAGTTGCCCTTCCACTACATGTTTAGACAATAGGATACAGACATGTATCAGTAAAATCATGGATGATCTGAAGGAAGCATGGACCATGTTGTGCACAACAATCAACTATCTATATGTTTCTTAGCCCCATTCATGTTACAGCTGTGTATAGAGGGCAACTGAGATTATGAAAACTTGAGTATCCCAGACCTAGGTTTGGTAAATCAGGGTCCAGAACATCTGATCCGTGAATTGGACACTAGAATCTATATGTTGTTTAGAAAGTGTGTGTGCTGGTGATGGTGATAGAGAAGAGAAAGAGGGTAGAGATGTGGTCAACCCAGCAGTGGGTCTGCCAGGACCAGGAGAAAGGGCTGCAGTTATATAGTATATGCTTCTTAGTATTAAACATTGTGGCATACTTGTCTACTAAACAAGGCTTGACTAAGGAACCCTGAGATCCATGGTTCTGTAACACACTTAAGTGGGTTAATATGGAGTTTTTAGCATCCTAACTACTTGGTCTCAGTCACAGTATGGAAATAACACATTAAAAGCAACAATGCTATTCATTAGCCATTGCTCTATTTTGAACCAATCTAACCTTGTTATTTTTGAGCATGATAATGACAACAGTGTGAATTTCTGAGTAATAAGTGTTGCTACTCGTCATGTGAAAATATTACCTTAGAAACTTGCTTCAGGATTTTGGGGTACCCCCCGTTTGAAGTGACTAGCTTAAAGAAGAGCTTGACATAAACAGCAGGGAGAAAGACAGAACCTTTGTGAGTTCTGTAACACACTTAAGTGGGTTAATATGGAGTTTTTAGCATCCTAACTACTTGGTCTCAGTCACAGTATGGAAATAACACATTAAAAGCAACAATGCTATTCATTAGCCATTGCTCTATTTTGAACCAATCTAACCTTATTACTTTTAAGCATGATAATGAGAACAGTGTGAATTTCTGAGTAATAAGTGTTGCTACTCGCCATGTGAAAATATTACCTTAGAAACTTGCCTCAGGATTTTGGGGTACCCCCGTTTGAAGTGACTAGCTTAAATAAGAGCTTGACATAACCAGCAGGGAGAAAGACAGAACCTTTGTGAGTTTTGGGGTTGTTGTTTTTACCTCAACAAATGCAAAGAAACAAGCATTTATTTATTTTTACTCTGTACAGGTATTGATCTTTGTGAAAACAGCATCTTAAAGCACCTCAGCCATCTCAATATAACCTCTGAGCAGCTCAACATCCTAATGGAAAATTTACCAGGGAAAAAAGTAGGGAGAGAAGAAATTGAGCACATTCTGAGGATGTGCAAATCTACAGACCAAATTCTTAAGCTCCTCAGCTTGTGGAGAAACAAAAACAGAGACCAAGACACTACCAAAGGCCTGACATATGGGCTGAAGCACTTGAAAACATATCATTTCCCCAAGACAACAATCCAAGGCCTCCGGAAGGTGATCAAGTTCCTCCACAGCCTCACAATGTACAAATTATACCAGAAGCTTTACACAGAAATGCTCGGAAACCAGATGCAACTGGTGAAAGTGAGGCGCGGGTAGTTTAAGCTATTTTTTTAATTTGCCACTTGCTGCTAGCGGTAATAATCAACTTGGGGAGGACCGTTGTTGTCCTATATTATGCTTATTTATATTTATATGTCTGACTGAGGTAGCGGAGAGCTATCTTAGACCTTTTATTGTTGTTGTTGTTGTTATTGTTGCTGCCTTAATAACACTAAAACCCTGATATGGAATCTTTGCACATCCAAGACTCCCAATGTCTTTGACCGAATGGGCAAAGAGAAACAAGGCCAGGTTATTTATATCCACTGAAATCTAGAATGTTTTATATATTTATTGACTTCAAATGGCACCAATTTCAGATTAAAGGTAGGAACTGGGAACCACTCGCCAAGCAGTCACTAGGAACACATGCCGAAGAGCAAACCTGTGAGGGCAAAATGGATTTTTTTTAAAAAAAGATGGGGACAATTGGTTTAGGACCCATCCCTCACCCCTCACCCATCTATATTTCAAATACTTTCACAGAAGCACCTGGATCTCTGCTTCTTACAAGATACAGGCTGAGATCCCAAACTGTGTCTGCTTGATGTGCGCACAAGAGCTTCTAAGCTCCCCCTTCAAATGACACGCCCACACATACCTCTAAAAAAAGCTACCTTTAGCATTAGAGGGGCTTCTTATGAATAAGGGAGATCTCTGTGGTGGCGCTGTGGGCTAAACCGCAGAAGCCTGTGCTGCAGGGTCAGAAGACCAAGCAGTCGTAAGATCGAATCCACGTGACGGAGTGAGCGCCCGTCGCTTGACCCAGCTCCCGCCAACCTAGCGGTTCGAAAGCATGCAAATGCGAGTAGATTAATAGGGACCACCTCAGTGGGAAGGTAACAGCATTCCGTGTCTAAGTCGCACTGGCCATGTGACCACGGAAGATTGTCTTCGGACAAACGCTGGCTCTATGGCTTGGAAACGGGGGTGAGCACCACCCCCTAGAGTCGAACACGACTGGACAAAAATTGTCAAGGGGAATCTTTACCTTTACTTTTACCTGTTGCATCAGTGCAAAAGTGTAGCTATACAAGCACCCTGTTTTGAAAGCTTGGAAGAAGCAGCTTTTTAGACAGCAGCTCTCAGCATCCACCCAGCTATCATGGCCACATAACATTTCCAGGCTCTTCTTGTTTTGCATGGTGACCCACTAGAGCAGTGGTCTCCAACCTTGGGCCTCCAGATGTTCCTGGACTTCAATTCCCAGATATCTTGGCCAGCAGAGGTGATGGTGAAGGCTTCTGGGAGTTGTAGTCCAAGAACATCTGGAGGCCCAAGTTTGGGGACCACTGCATTAGAGGCTTACAAAGATGGCATGAAGGCAACGGTTGTTTCCACTGTCTTGTCCTGAGTAGCCTGCCTCCAAGGATCCCAAAAGAGGGAGAAAAGCATCTTTCCAGACAATTTATTGACTCCATGCATGATTATGTCAATGTCTTTACAAAGTCATCCCCTAGAAGTTAGGGGGAGAAGAAGAGTTTGTGGTGGAGCAAAATCTATCCCCAAAGTCCTGATATCAGCCAAAGCCCAAGTTTCTTCCACCCCCTTTTCTCCTCTTTTTTGTGCCATCATTTGCAGTGAGAAGGAAATTAACTATGTCATAGGGCAGATGTAGCTCTCTCTTTCATCACAATTCCAGAGGTCTTCCCAGTTAATGAAGGAGCTATGGTTCCAGTGGTTCCAAAGCTCCTTTTCTACATCCTAAATGCACACTTTGAAAGCCCCTTTTGGCGCTTGCCACACTAGGGTCCCTCCAGCGAGGTATCCAGTATGTCATCTCTTTCCAAGAGTGGTCAAATGAAGACCTCCATAGCAGATCTCCCACCCTATCCGCGGACAGGGAGGTGTGATGTGCAATGTACAAGGGCCTCCAGGAACTCAACCATGAGAACCAAAGGGTTGCACCATAAGTCACATTTTCTCCATGTTAAAAAGTGATAAGGCAGGAAAGGATGCTTTGCGCTTGCCCAAATCACATCCCTATTAAAAACAAAAACAAAACAACCCCCCAAAAAGGTTTTGAAAAGTGCACATTTGTTGACTTTGCCTCTTGTTTTGCATTTTCATCTTGAATGTCTTCAAGGAGGTCTTTGAACCATGTTATACCTATTGCCCCTCATCTCCTCAACCCCATATACAGTGGTGTCTCGCAAGATGATTGACTCATGGGACGAAAAACCCGCAAGACGATTGGTTTCTGCGATTGCTATGTTTCTTCTATGTTTCTTCTATGGCCATGCTTCACAAGAGGTTCCCCCCCCCGAGAGTGATGCCTTGCAAGACGAATAAATTTCATTCGTCTTGCGAGGTTCCCATAGGGAAGCTCGCAAGACAATTTTTTCGCAAGACAGCGATTCTCGCGGAACGAATTACATTCGTCTTGTGGGGCACCACTGTATTTGGCCCTTTGTACTGACTTTTGAAATTGATGTCAGTAAAGAACTATCATGAGCTCAAGTGAGCTAGAGACATTGTAATGGTCAAGTGAGTTTGTTTTGTTTTGTTTTGCCTTTGGAGTGTTATACAATATTTTATGTTATGGAACTTCCAAATAGGATGTTTTTTAATCTGCTTATGCCCTCATTTTTTAAAGGGATGGAATGTATACTGTTCATTTTCAAGCTATGGGTTGAAGAGGTGTATTTATAGTAAGCCACACATATGTGATATTTCCTGATGGATCCTTCCTTCATTCTTGTTCTGTGGATTTTTAAAGATTGTTTCATAGGTTTGTATGTATAGGTTGTGATATTTTCTAGATGTAATTCAGACTTTTTTTAAAAAAATGCATATGGGGAAAGTCTGTCATTAACAAGCTGTATATAAGGTATTGTTTTAGAACATGAATGTAACGTATTTAAAAGATGGATTTTCAAGTTGGATTTTTATAAAGCTATTACATTTTTTATTTCATTTAACCACTATGGTTTGTGTCTTTGGTCATTGTTTCTAACAGTAGTCAAAAGCTCTTTGCAGGCACTGAGGAGTCTTCAAGTAAAAGATCTGTGGGGTTGCACATTCCCCCACATGTACCCATACAGTACAGTGCACACAAATAAATTAGATGACAGCTTTACAATTAGAAGATGATAAAATGTTATTCCTCCAAGGCAGTGGTCCCCACCCTTGGGCCTCCAGATGTTCCTGGACTTTAACTCCCAGAAATCCTGGCCAGCAGAGGTGGTGGTGAAGGCTTCTGGGAGTTGAAGTCCAAGAACATCTGGAGGCCCAAGATTGGAGACCACTGCTCCAAGGGACATTCCTTCAAAGTTTCCACATCTGCACAATCATTTATATATAGATCCTGTGCTTATTTCCTAATGACCAATCATCCAACGAAAGCAATCCAGTTTGTAAGTCTCAGAACTGCAAAGCCTAGTGGTATAAAAAACTAATGTCCTTTAATTCCTAAAGTTCCATTTCTAATTGTGAAGCTGGTACCTCATATGTTTCTTTCCTGGGTTGAAGGTTTTGAAGGAAAACTGTAACTGTGGTTGATTGAATGTACTTACAGTTCCCCCGGGATCAGGAACTCTGTGCAATCAGGGTTCCCAATCAAGTGGAGAGCTATAATTACATTCAGTCTTTGAAGACAGCAGAGGTCCTTGTGTCCTTAGGACTTTTCAATGCTCAGTATTTGGAATGGCTGCATAGGATTCATACTATGACCATATGAAACTGTACATTGTTCCACCAAAGAAATTACTGGATCGGGTTCAAGCTTCCTTATGCTCATAGCCAGAGCCAGCTCTACTGTTAAGCAGGGTTAGCCAACTGCCTCTAACAGCAGATTTGAGATTCTATCAAAGGGGAGCAAATTATTAGTAATTCAGTTTGCTATTTCAGTTCCAGGAACGGAGAAATGTCCTTATCACACGTTGTTCTTCATATACCAAAGTGACTTGGCTTTGTGTACTCCATGCTCTGACTTGGCTCTGCCTCATGATGCAAAATGTCCCTGGTTGGCTTACAGGAGACCCATAGGTTCAGTGACACTGAAGTTAGTCATGACTAATTTATTCCATTGATTTCAAAGTGTCTCCTGTAAGCATGATAAGCCCAGCATCTTTTCTGACCAGTCATTGATCTTCATGGTCTCAGACGGAGAACCTGCCCACCAATTGCCACCTAATCTTGAGTTGGAGTTTGCATTTGGGATCTTGCCAGCACAGAGCACAGTCTGTTGCATCCCTGAAATACAAAGAGTATTATTTAGATGCAGACTTTACTGCCCTTTCAGTAGACCCACTGAAATCAATGGGAGAGAATGTGCCAACAAATATGGAAAATAAAACAATGAGCCACAAGACTAGAAATGTTCAATATACATTCTAATCCCCATGAAAGGAGATACCAATGAGTGCAGTAAATACTGTATAGGACCATTGCTTTACTTTCCCGCGCAAGTATAGTGATGCTCAAGGTGTTGCAACAAAGCCTTTTACCTTATATGAAGCAAATGTCTGATGTTCAAGCTGGATTACAAAAAGTACAGGGCACTTGAGATTATATTGCAATTATCTGTTGGCTACTGGAAAGCACCAAAGAATCTCAGAAGAAGATCAGCCTGTGCTTTATAGACTAGATCAAAGCCTTCGACTGTGTGGATCATGATCATGGTCTCTAGTGACACATCTATGCACTTGTTCGTCTTTTCTAGTTTTTTCATTGCTGGCCTTCCAAATCTCAGTCTTCTGATTTCTTGGCTGCAATTCCATTTGGATTGGTTTGTTTTAATTTTACCTATATTTCCTATAGATCCATAATTTTAAACTGTGCAATGCTCTGATGAGAATAAAGAAAGATAGAAAAAAATGCACCATGCCTGCAACAATTCACAGCCACCACCCTTTCAAAAAACTTATGGGTGAGTCACTTACATGGAGAAACAACCCTGTCTGTCAGTTAGGAGCGAAAAGAGATACGTCTTGGCCATTCCCAAACTAAAGGTTGCAAAGATTGGACACAGAGCCTTCCGCATGAAAAGCAAGGGACCTGTTGCCAACCTCTGAGTGCCAAGTTTTGAACCAACCCCTAGAGTCATACACAATGTACAACATTTTGCTCTGCACCAATTAGCAGGTGATTGTGCTTCTTTCCCTCTCTTGACAAGCATTACCAGCTGTTTTCTGCATATCAAATCTCTGCTAAAGGGACAGGCGCATGCCAGGTGCTCAGCTTGTCCCTGGCCAGTTGGCAAATCTAAAAGAGACTGATAAGCAACTGAGCACACATATCACTTTCGTGAGCCACAGTGTACTTTGATCCAAATACAAAAAGTGTCTGCCCTAATAAAATGCCCACGCAGGGCTGATCATCACAAAAACACACCAGACGCTTCAACCTCAACATTCTCCTCCAAAAATTAATGCAGTGATTTATCAGAGCATAGAAAATGATTCTCTGTAATCAGTAGCTCTTCCTGTAATTTCAAAATAGGATTTCTGTGAAATCCAGAAATCTATAACTATTACCAACATTTCTCTGTCTTGTTTTGATTTAAGGGTGTACAGGATTTCGATAAAATGTTTTGGATTGCTTCAGATGGAACGTATAATTACTCGAATGTGGCTTCATAATCTTCAAGGAGGGCTCAGAGTTTTTCTCTTCCTCTCCTTTCTTGTTCTCTGTAAGGAAAAGATAAAAAGCTTCTCCTTCTCCTTCTTGATTTACCGCCATTCCTTGTGATATTTGAATTTAGGGAACCATGCCTTGTTTTAACTTAACAAAT